GCCTACGGTCCCGAAAGAGGAAATGTGAGTAGTGATTCTGAGGATCGCGGAGGGTTTTGTGAAGTGAGAAAGACACGGAACGTATGTGGAGGATGCAGAATGTGAATGAAACGTGCAGGACTTTGTGAAGTGATGCAGAATGTGAATGAAACGTGCCGTATGTGGAGGATGCAGAATGTGAATGAAACGTGCAGGACTTTGTGAAGTGAAGATGTGGAACGTATGTGGAGCATGCAGAATGTGAAGTGAAATGAGGATGTGGAGCGTGAGGGAAACGTGAAAGATTTAGTTACCATTTTTTATCATTTTATAGATTTTATTATCATAATATATTATTAGCTCTGAATTTTACTTATATAATTAAATTTTCTTTATGTCGTTCTTTGTTCGTTATAAGTTAGAACCACCGTGTGGTCATGCTGCTTTTCATCATGCGCACAGAAAGACAACTCAACAAACATGTTGAAATTCAAAACAAGTTTCATTGAATCTTCTTCCAAATCATGTAATAAAACTGATCATATGCTGAAACTGCCTCATGCTGAGTACATCCATGTAAGAATTGTAGTATCACATATCATATCACTTTCGTTCTGATGTCGTGCAAAAAGGTAGCAAGTATCTGTCCATCTTTTGATGCCAGCTCGTGATCAAGCTAACATTCTAAGCTACGCTTCGGGGTAAGAGTCCTTTCGCGTATACTTAGAGGTACAACCATCTCACGACTAGTACGGGCGTAGTTCCTCAAATTCTAAATCTGGCTGAAACCCGTGTGGCACCTTGCTATCGTCCATCCTTCTCAAAGTAACAGAAACCCTGCGATGCGGCACTCCCGGGATGCAATGCTTCACCAAGTCTGCTCCATTTCCCTTTGAACCCACTGGCAGCGGAATCTCGACCGATCCTCTGAACTCTCCAGGTCTCACAATATCGATTTCTCTACCAAATAGAATGTTGCTCTTGCTCATGAAGGACACTGTACAAAAAGACCTGACAAAATCGTGGTGATCTATGTGGGGCGGAATGCAGTCTCCCTCCTCATAGATGTTAATAATACAGCTATTCGGAATACAATCCGCAGACAGTATGCCCCACCTTACCATTCTTTTGATCATCTTTTTTATCTCGAAAGGCAAAGGATCCACCTCATCGTATCTTAAGATACCCGGGGGATTCCCCAGCCTATCCCTCGTGAAGTTGTAGCAGCAACCGCATTGAATTGTAATTCGTCCTTTGCCTCTCATCCATTTCTGCGGCTCTGAGTAAAAGCTAAGCATCGAGTTTAATATTTTTTTATTTATGTTGTAAACACACATTTGGTAAAATCACTTGGATTAAATGAAGTTTTCTATTGTGTTCAACATATGTAGTGAGTAGATTTCTTACAAATTTCTCTTGTGGATGTTAGGTTAGATCTGTATGATCATTAATGCTATGAAACTGGTTTTTATTGCTTAATGGGATGAGTATTCTTGTAGACTTAATTTACATTTTGTACTGACCATACAACTTGTTAAAATCTATTGTGACCCATTAGGACTTGAGAGAGCAATGACGAAACACCATAGAATACTCAAATTGTTCAAATGACTATGATGAAGTATTCAGAAGGTAATGCTATTTTGGGAGATGTGTTTTCATAGGGTTTGAATGAGGAGTTTATTTGGTGAAAGCTGAAAATAAGAGCCAAGTTTGAACCATTCTTATTTATGCCCTCAAAAGAGAGTAAATGAGTCTTATGTTCCTTTTGTCACTATAACATCACAATTCCTGGTAGTAATACCTACAAGCAAACTAGTAATTCACAAGAGAAAAGAACTCTTATCAATCTTGAATTTCACTTAACTAATTGATCTAGGCAAGTTTAACTTAGGTATAGAAATGTAACTTAAGATTATTGAAAAAACCACCCTTAAATATATTTCAAACTAAGACCTGAAAGTAGTAGACTGGAACTTCTCCTTAGAAATTATCTACCTCCCCTTCACTGTGGGATCAACATTCCAGACTCAACAGAGCCCTATATTTTTGAAAAGATTTGTATCTTGCTTGAGAAATCCCGGTGAGTAATAATACCTAATTTTAAGAAGTCAATATGTTAGGGAGCAGATCGAGTTTTTGATGCCTTCACTAAGACTTAATTAAATTGTGAAGATAGGGCGGATCATGCCACTTTAGGAATGTTTGGATAATCCTAGTGCCTGACAACTTGTAAACTTGGTGCCTTGACGCCAAGTATGAGGTACATAGGCAACCCTTGAGAGCTAATGTGGGGCTTTGGTACTAAGTATGGGGTGCCTAGCCTCCCTCTCGAAAACCTTGCCCAACTTCATTTGGTGCCACCAGACTTATAAAGTTGATCATCATAGATGTACATTAGTAGTTCCTAAACAATACCCGTAAACTGGTTATAATAAATATACTTCTCAATGATAGCATGCTGCAAGGACTGACTTTTATTGCTATGAAGGTAGTAGCCCTCCTTGAAAGTTATAAACAGAGGCTGCTGCGCCAGTTTATTATTGAGGAGTAACTTCAAAGCCATGGTAGTAGTTGGTCATGTGGACCATAAATAGCTGATTTAGGAGCTTCAATTGGCTACATAGGCTAAGTAGGGAGTGATATCACTTTCAGGTGTTACAACACACAGGGGGCTCACACAAGTACATGTGTCATATAAGTATTATCAAATTTTGAAGTTTGGAATGTCGATCCCACAGGGAAGTAGATAATCATTGTTAGGAAAAGTTCTAGCTTATTGGTTTTAGTCCCATTCTAAAAGTTTGGTTTTTTTTTGATGTCATACAAAGTAATCCTAAAGTATCACAAACAATTAAAATGTTGAAATCCTACAAAAGTAATCCTAATCTATCACAATTGTATGAAAAATATCAAATACTTAGTGGCTTTTCTTTGTAATGAGTTAAGAAGATTTCATAAAATTGAGAATTGCAAGTAGAACAATTAAGTGACAAATAGGAGAAATAACCTTCTTTATACTCACTTAAGTGCATAAAAAAGCTAGGTTAGAAGTGACTTTACTCCTATAAAACCAATAAAAACTATCAAAGCATATATTTTCTAACATTTGCATCTCCCCACAAGGCATATCAACCTATACCCCACAGGTTAATGTGAAAAACCTAGTTGATTCTTCCATGGACTTTCCCAAGTCTTATGTTTTACAACAAATTTTAACAATTCACTTAGTTAGAATGAAAAAGAATTTAGCCTTGAAGGTTACTCATTAACATAGAAAACAATTAAAATACTAAGCAATTCTCATTTCATTTATCTTACTTAATCACCACAAAGCAATGTAAAAGTCTACTCTAGAAGCATGACAAAACACCAAACATATTCATTAAAATAAAAGAAATACACTATCCAGTTATTATAACTGAAATACAATAGAAAGAATACAAAAAAAAAACTTAGCTCTCTCTCCTTTACATAAACTAGAAGATGGATCAATCAACACACTTCCTAAATTTCTAGGATGTTGATCCTGTAGATCTCTCCCTTTTCCTTTGTACTGGAAGATGAAGAAAGGCTCTCACAGCAAGCAAAACTTACTAAATAACCCACTAACATCAATCTTTCTCAATCCCTAATGTACTGCTATTTATAGACTCTTTAAATCAGCTTCCACAACTTCATAACATCTCTACACGATCCCCACACAATCCACATGACTGGATTCCCAAACTGCAACAACTACTTTGGACAGTTTTTGGCGCCTAGACGCCAGACTCTCTGTATGCTGATGGATGAACGGGCGCCAATGCACCCAAGGGTTTCAACGCCTAGGCACCAGTGTCGCAGCACCTAGACACCCAATGGTTGGTGCCTAAGCGCTAACCTCTCAGGTTGGTAAGGCAGGAATTGGTGCCTAGACACTCAAGGGTCTAACAACTAAGCACCAGAGCTACTTTGCTCTTATATGCTCCATGATTTTTTCTGGTTTCCCCACTTCAATTCCCTTTTGTATCTGCAAGATAAAAACAGATGTACCCGTCTTAAAGTGTAATTTCATCCATAAAAAAAGTGTAGTAACTTTAATAAATACTAGCTAACTGTCTACATAATAAAATTCCCCAAAATTAAATGTTACTTGTCCTTAAGTAATATCAAAGCTTAAATACTAATTTAGTTAACTTATAGGAGTGGGTTTCATGGAAAACTATCTACAATAATGCCTCAAGAGATCCATAGTTAGGCCAATGAAATATTTCTAGTAAACATGTCCAGTCTTTAGGCTATAATAAACATTGCATTCAACAAATAAAATGTAATTTCATACTTATTTCAAAAAGAAATTAGTAAATCCTTAAGTAGTGCACATTGGATAACAAATATACAAAATTAAGCTCTCCTTTAAATAGTCTACTAATACTTCTTAAACATGAATAAAGTTAGGAATGTAGTTGAGTTTTAATTTAAAAAGCATTTTAGTAAAACTAATTTTTGGTAAGTCTTCTCCTCCATATATATTTTTTTTTCATTTAAAGCTCTTTTTTTCTTCTTTTCACAATTTAGGATGAATGTTTAAATCCTAAGCATAATTCCATTAGGATTACTATATCTGGATAAGACTTATAACAATTTTGAATTCTACTATAATCTTCTCAAATTAAAATAGTTATTTCCAAATCTGAGTCGTAAAATTCAAGGCCTGCAGCTCCTGAACCACATATACAAACTTAAATACTTAACTAATATGACAGATATCCAGTACTACAATCACTCAAAAATAATTTTGGTATTTTGTTTTTTTTTGTTTATATGATTTTCAAAATTGATAAAGTGTTAAAATTAATTTTTAATTCTCCTAACATAAATTTATAGATCAAATAAAAATCTAAGTCAAAAAGTTCCATCGCTTTCCTGACAACGACACTAAAAACTTGATCCGACCCGCAATTACCCGCAATTACACAATCCAAAAGATTGCCAAAAACTTGGCCAAAATTACATTTAGCGGCTAGTGTGAATAAATAAAATGATTTAGAGAAGAAATAATAAGCTTTAACACTAAAGGTACTACACAAGTATATGTATCATTTCAAGTAATATATGAATTTTTTTAAAAACTCCAGTATAAAACCCACAAGGAAGCTGTAACTTCTAATAATTACTTAGAAAAACTTATATCTAAATTGCTGATAAAAATAATATGCGAATAGTGTCGAAATATTGTCGAAATATTAAAACTAAATTTACGTGCAATCTAAATTTAAGCAGAAAGTAAGAACAAAGTTTAAAAGTCTAATGAAGTTTAAAAGAGTTTGAATATTAAGAAAAGATCTTTCCCCATTTCCTATACAAAGAGATCTTAGTAAGTATAAGATTTTAAAGATTAAAAATATAAAATGATATATTGCGACAAATATGAGCATACATATTCTTTATACTCTCTCGATACTAGCAAAGATCATTGACTAAGCTTAAGTTTGCTCCAATTCATATAGTAGCTCTGCGTAGATTCCAGGCTCTCATGAACACAACCTAATTTTTCTCAAAGCTCGGTCCATGAACCCCTCTTTGCTAGTGATCTAATCATAGTCGCCGCACTCATATTGCCCGCCACTGCTATCCTGCAACAATTCATACTCGCCTTAAAGCTGATAACCAGAGCGCTGGAGGAATATCGTAAAGGGAATGGAAGGATAAAGGATGGAAGCGGCATATTTTCCGAGGTTTTCTTGCTTTATATTTTAGAGGTTGATCCTTATACTGGTTATCGTACATAAAATTGTTTATGAAATGTAATTGAAAATTTTCGGGTTGGAATGAATCGTTGGACTTGATCGCCTTTTTTGATTTCTTTTGTTGCTCGAGGGTGTTGGTTCATCAATTTCATATCTATCTCATTCTTATGAGCTTTCCGCTGGAATTTTCGGCGCTATTTTGTTGGAGAGTTTGGGGTTTCGTAAAAGGATCTTGACATTCGAAGTGGGCCTTAGATTTTGATCCTGTCTTGTAGTTTAATTGCTTTTATTAAAGGTTAGGGTGAGTAATACCTTGTGTAAGGTTGTTCTGAATGGAGATGAAGCTGATTTTTAAGGCCAAGGCTAATGGCTTTCTTGTCATTGACAAGGGACCTTTACGTTTCCCATCCTTATGAGGCATGCTATTCAAAGATCCTGAAAGATTTTTCTCAGTTTACGTGCTTGCACTTGGAGATAACAAGCTCAGTGTCGAATTTGAAATTGCTTTTTAGTTCCTGAAGCGATCTTGGCTGTTTTCTTGTTCATTTGTGGTTCAGTTTGTTTCAACAATTGCTTGCAACTTCTGAATTAATTTCGTAGAATTTCACTTGAATCCATATAAAAAAATAAGTTCCATCGTATTTGACTTGCATCCAACCAAGCAACTCCTGAATCAAAATATTTTACTCTTATTTTATTTTACATTTTTACATTGCATGAATTTTGAATACAATCAACCAAACAAAACCTAGAAGCATCTTTCATTTCTATGCTTCTTTTGGACCATTAGATCAAATCATGCACGTGATGTCAAAAAGCATTTAAGTTGCTGATGACCACTAGTTTTTGAATGTTTTTGATATTTTGGTTTCTACTTGCAGATCTTATTGGATGGAAAATAAATTTACATGACGGATTGTGCTGACTGTGATATGTCTGGAGCGTCATTGCCAGCCCCCATAAACAGTCCTGTAATCCGCCGAGCAGGTGGTAAACCTGCTCTTTTGGAGCAAGGTAACCTGAGGTAAATTATGTTGCTCTTTTCCATTGGAATTTCTGAATTGAAGAGTTTGCTAAGGTTTTGCTTAAACAAGTGAAGGAGAAGCATTACCATTATCAGCTGAGATTATTGACTTGAAGAGTGGGAATGTACTTATGCATGGAGCTGCCATTACACCATCCCCTGTCCTCTTATGGAGATTAAAGGTTAGGATGATTTACATACTCACCACTCAATTCCTACGTATTTATAGTTAAAATGGTGGTATTTTTAATGTCATACGAAATATTTGGGTGGTATAAATGTAAAAACTAAAATTCAGTTGTTAGATATGTAAATACATAAGATTTTGGTGGTATCTATGTAATAAAGGTTATTGCTTTTCCATCTATCCATCTATATGAATGTTGGCTTCTTTTGACCTCTTTTTTGGCGCTTTTGTTTGATGGATGTTGTGGATTTTTAATCTTTTAACCATTATCTTTGATATGACGTTGTTATCGGCTGAGTTTAAAACAGCTGCATTACTTTCTTAGCTAACAATGTGATAACCGTGGAGCCATTTTGTGACAACTGATATCCGTCTACACATGTTTAATCCCTTGCTTTGTCTATCTTGGCTGCAGAATACTTGAAATTGGACAAACTATATTATTCCTTGATGTTAAAGAAGACACTTCAGTTTTTTTTTTAAAGAGTGGAAACTGCTATATTTAATAATTTGAATAAATTGGAAGGAAAAATGTTTCAGGTTTGTTATCAATTATACCCTTATGATTCTTTATTTTCTGTAAATTGGTTGAGTTCCAATTACTTTTTGGGGCACTTACATAGATACTACCCACTTTCTTTGTATTAACGTATCTAACACTTAAGCTTTACTTTTTACGTTTATACCGCCCAACTCTTTCATATCACATAAAAAATACACTATTTTAACTTTTATAATGTGAAGTACACCTTTTCAATGCATAATTAAGGTGACATTTGTAATAATATAAGTTTAGGTGTTAAATATGTAAGTTCATAGGATTTAGTTGGCATTTATGTAAATATTCATATTTTTAATGTCAAATAAGGGTTTGTTTTGGACAACTGCAATTTTTTAAAGAAGCAGCTATGAAATTGCTAAAGAAGAAGTTGCTGTTTAAAATGCTGAGTGGCCGTTACCTAATTTTCTTTTGAAAAAGTTAGACCACAGCTTTCTAGCTGCCACCGTAGGTAGCCAGGTCTGGTGCGAACACGTATCTTTCAAGTGCAGCTTTTTGAGAATCCAGACAAAACACAGTTTTTGCGAAACATAAAAAACTGTGGTGTGGCACCGAATTGCCACCGCATTATCGCCCCAAACACATTGAGTATAAATTAGCTTGAATGCGTCTTATATGCATTGCACTTTTTCGCTTTTCTTAAAAATTCATATATTAACTGCTGGAGCTCCATCATTTTTAGGCTTATTGAATGATTTATAAAATTTTTTTTCCCAGGTTTTTCTTTTCCTTGCTTGGGGATTCAACTGTTGCAAGGTTAGTTCAATACATTTAATTCTCTAGTATATAGGGAATACTGGTTTAAAAACATTAAGTTCTAAGAAAAATGTTTGATTTCTTACTGAGATAATTAAGACAATCTTATTGCTTATGCTGCAGATCAGTTGGGACTCTGTTATGAGAATGAGTGCTGATCTTCAAGATCTATTCCTATATGAGGCATTTCTTTATTATAATCCTCTTCTTCTTGTGGTAAGTGCCATTTGGTTTGGCACTTTGCTTCTTTGATACAAAAATTAGGATGAGTTAAGCAATTGCCTTTACCATCTATGTTGTTTTTTGATTTTTATGTTGCAGACATTTACAGTATTTCTTTGGGGAGTGAATTTATGGATTTTCAGTCAATCATCAGTGAGCTACTCAAACGTATTTGATCTTAACCACAATTATCTTACTCACCGGGAAATTTTCAAAGTACGTACACTTGGTGACTTCATTAATCTTTTTCTTCCTTTCAAGCATCAATAGTAGCATTTTTCTCATGATGTTTGAGCCCCATGCTATATTGCAGAACGTTACAAATTATTTAGGAGTATTTACTTTACATACATAACACACTATTTACATACATAACACACAATTCTTATGTATTTACTCATCTCACACCTAAACTTTCATATTTATGCATATAACACTCAAATCTTTAATACCACATGAAAAATAACACTAATATCTATTTTTAAAGGTGAAATTCACTTTTTCATGCATATGGTTAAAGCACCAACATGCTATGTGCGTAAATATGAAAGTTTAGGTGTGAGATTTGCAAATACATAAGAATTGTTTGCTAGGTATGTAAATTTCTCATTTATTTAATATTGGCATCTAGTGCGAGGGCATTTTAAACTCACTACTACTAGATGGGTTTTAAATTTACACTTATTGTAATTTTTTGGAAGTAGGAAAAAATAATTATTCCTCTTTAATTTTATAAGAGAGGTTTACAAAATAAATAGCTGGGTAAGGCCACCAAACTAGGAAAGTCACAAAATTAGCTAGAAAATCATCGTGCTAGGTAGAAAATAGTAATCATAAATTATCTAAAATATAAAAATATAAATTATAAAATATTAAAGATAAAAGATGTTAAAATTAGAAATGCCTAAAAAACTGATACCCCCAAGTTGGAGCATATACATTTTTATGCCCAACTTATAAAAAGCTAAAAATTAGGATGAATAGTCCTTTGATGAAGATATGTAGTATTTGTTGTATAGTCGGGATAAAAGGCATGCAATAGCCCCACAATCAATCTTTTCTTTTATGAAGTGTCTGTAAATTTCCATATGCTTTGTGTGATCATGTTGTATTGGATTTTCTGCAATGTTTATGGCAACTTTATTATCATATTATAATTTCATTGACATGTTTATTGGGGTCCACAACTCTTCGAGAATTCTTTTCAATCATAACATCTCACATACTCCATCAGCAGTAGCCCTAATTTATTCCTCAACATTACTCCTCACAATCACATTCTGTGTCTTATTTTGCCATGTAATCGGATTTCCTAAAACACAAGAACAATATCTGAACGTCAATCTTCTGTCAATAATTAAGCACATCACTCAATTTCTATCAATGAATGCCTCTATTTTCTGTTGTGTGGTCTTTTGAAAGAGTAAACCCTTAGTGTGCTTTGTAGGCATCGAAAAATCATATTAAGTGCTTCAATGCGTTTCTCATAAGACGAATGCATAAATTGACTTATTAAACTTATAACGAATGCAATATCTTGTCGTTTATGTGATAAAGTATACCAACTTGCTCACCAATTTTTGATACTTATCTGTATTTACTGGATCACATTCTTTCCCATCTCTCAGTTTCTAATAGAAATCAGTTGGAGTGTCTGCGGGTTTACTTACTCACCCCAACTTCTTTGAGAAGACTAAGAATATACTTTTGCTGGAAACAGCAATTCTTTTCTTCAATCGAGCAACCTCCATGCCAAAGAAATATTTCAGAGATTCTAAGCCTTTGATCTAAAAATCTGATGACAGAAAAGCCTTCAAACAGTTCATCTCTTTCACGTCATCTTTGATGTGAATTATTTTGTCAACTTATACAATCAATATGGTTATCCACTCATCATTTGAATGTCTAAAGAACATCATATGATCTCCTTTCTCTTAAGTATATGCTTGACCTTTAACAAATAGAGTAAATTTCTTAAACTGTGCTCCAGTGATTATTTTAAAATTTTCTATGTTTGTGCCAAACTTCTCATTTGATTGTGGAGGTGCATCCATGTACACTTTTTTCTCCATGTCTATTGAGAAATACATTTTTATATCCAATTGTTGTAGGTACAATCAATATTATCTGCAAGTGACAAAAAAACTATTATAGAGTTTTGTTTTTGAGTGTGGTGAATGTTTCCAAGTAATTAATGCCATATATTTGACTGAATCCCTTGTCAACCAGTCAAACATTGTACTGTTTTAGAGAGCCCTCAAAATTATACTTGACTATAAATACCCATTTGCACCCTACAACTGTTTTCTTTCTAGGTAGAACAATTAATTCCCATGTGCCATATTTTTTTCAATTGTTTTCATTTCCTCAAATACAATCTATTTCACTTGGGAAATTTCATAGCATCTTGTACAGTTGTAGGAATCTTCATACATGACAATTGTGAAGTAAAGCACGAAAAATGGGTGAGATTTTCATGTGAAACATAATGGGATAATAGATGTTTGGTGCAAAACCTTATTCCCTTACAAGCAAAAATGAGAAGATTAGAATCATTAGACTTAGGATTAGAGCTAGACTTAAATTAAGGAGTAGATGATTCAATACTTAGAGATAAAATGGACTAAAAATGGGGTAAATGCTTACTTAGTACATTATTTAGATGGTATGGATTCTGGATAGTCGAAATGGTTCATAGACTCTATCATTTGAGTTATTCTTTAGTGCGAGTAGATAATGTTTAATAGTTCCATTGTCATATTTCTTTTTTCTATTCTTCTTAGTTACATGATCATGAACATGATCAGATGACACTATATGAAGATCAAAGTCATCCTTAATAGCTAACAAAGACTTGACCCACTTTCCCCTTATGTAATATAGCTTGAATTTTTTGGTTGAACAATTAAGACCATGGATGTATTATTTTGTGAATATTCAGGGTTTGTTTGGGGCAGCTGCATCTTATCCAGCTTATGCTGATAAACAACTTATCTTGATAATCTGCTGATGATCAGTTGATTCAGATAAGCTGACTGGATGTTTAGTTTGTTCGTTTGAAAAACAGTTGATTCTGGATAAATGACCAATCTACCCCTATTCTGGATAAACTATTTAGCTATTTGGTTGTGCGTTTTGTAAATAACTGATTTGCAGATTTTTTTATTTAAATGAAAAAGTTGGCACGCAAAAGCTGTTCTCCACCCCTCAGCTATTTTATAACCAATTAACCCACTTCAAACTCATTCGACACATACAAACCACCTAAAAATTGCTATTTACAAATTTACCAACTTTCTTAATGCAACCCTGTAAGGGAGATAAAAGTAAAGATTGATGAATTCGTAGAAGAAAATTTTTCTTATTTTCCAATCACAGAGGGGAGTTTGAAATTCACACGCATAGAGCGAGGGTGGAAGAGATTCATGGAAATCATATAAGTAAAATTTGAGATATTCATTACTATTCTTGGAGGTGCAACACAACGTAACATTAATTTGAGATATTCGAAAACAAATTCTAGACACAAAAAACATAATATCATGTAAGAAAATGTTCATGCTTCTGCAAAATCCCAATAATAAAACAACTTATTTTACTGCATTTACATTTCTCACACCAATGTTTACTTTTTACATTTTTATCACTCAAATATTTTCGGTGACACTAATATGTAGTGTTATGACCAAAAAAAAAAGAAAAAATAACATGTTAGTATAAGAAAAAAAAAATATAATATTGACTTTAAAATGTAGTAGCATATCATGACGAATGTTGCCCGTTTGTGACACCACAGAACCCCGAGCAAACTTGTCTGACTGGGATATCGTAGAAACGAAAACACTCGAATCACATGCGGTGTTCTCAAGTTGTGATACCGTCGAATTATGAGTAGCGGTGTCCAATTAAGATATCGTAGATACGGACTTACTGTCGGTACACCTGAAGAAATTGCAGTCCTCCAGTTCTTGTGCCCACCGCGGACACTTGTAGAATTGCCGCCTGTAGCAATGTGGCTGGCGTGACATGAGGACCAAGGGCGGTAGCCCACAGCGGCAGACCATTTTCTCGAACTTCCTTGAATTTCTGGAACTCCTCGTTCTGCAATTTTTAAAAGACAATAGATCAGCCATAAAATAGTGGAAATAAAGAAATGTACTTACCAATGTATGGATGCAACAGTCGCCGACAAGAAAGTTCTATGGCCACCAAAGCGGCTCCACAGTTATCTTAATAATATCAGTCCACTCAAAATGTAAAAAAAAAGAGTTAAAAAAGTTAAATGCTGTAGTGTCCAACTATCAGTAATCTCATTCAAGCCAATAAAAAACATTGACAATAACCATTTTAAGCTTCATTTAACATAATAAACATTGACCGTCCAATCTCATTCCAGACAATAATGCAGATTGACCATAACCAGTGCTTGAGAAAAGCAAAGAGAAACTCCAAAGTAGCAGGAACAGACACATGTTTAATGTTTCACTGCAAACATTCTAAGGTAACAGGAACAAGAAAAGGGACTGCCCAATTTCATATAAAAGGTATCAATGCAGTCTATATGCATGAACAGGAACAGGGAATGACCAATTTCTCCAAATAGAAGAGGGACTGTTTTAATTTCTCTAATTAGAATAGGGACTGGACCATAGAGTCCAATTTCTCTAATTAGCATTACTTTTAATATCTCATGAGTAATCTAATCAACAAAACATAATCTCTTCTTACAATCACAGATAAGAAATCAAATAAGCACTCTAATCAAAACTTTATTTAGAACTTTAGCAGGAAGTTCGAATATCGTAACATGCTAAGACTATTTTCACATGCAGCTCGTTTAACACAACACCTCTGAAAACAGGCAAACCCACGCCTATCACATAAAAAAAAAATATGATGGTGCCATCATTTGTGTCGTAGAAGCAGCGGTTGCCCTAAAAGAAGATGGGCCATCTAAGCTGCAATGAGAGGACCACCGTTTATGTTCAATGAAAGCATAAATTTTTCCAATCTATTTCAATTTCTAGATCTTCATACGCCACTGTTGACCAAGTTTACAAGATGACACAAATTCAGAACAGGTAGCATCGTACTTGAAAACCTTCTATAAGAAAAGAGTGATCTAATGTAATGATCCCGAAAATTATAGTTGTGTAAAATTAATGAAGATGATTCCGCGTTGCAGCGATACCAAAAACTTGGTTCGTTATTTATTA